ATATATAGCAACTCAGAGACTAGAGGGATTGTGGGAAGTGGGTCCTCTTAAAGATTTCCTCTTAAATGCTTTCTTTGAGAGTAGGAACATTTTACTACCCAAAGAAACATAACAGCAACTGCCATCATAAAAAAGGCACACCCCACAAAGAAGGTCCTGGCATCTTTCTAGAAAGCAGCCGATTTTTGTTGTTGTTGTTACTCTGTAAGATTCATTAGATGACCTGGGTCTTTGTGTTTTTTTCCCCAGGAAGTATTTGTTTCTTATTTACTTCCTGTTCCACAGGATTTTATCTTGATTGGTGGTACCTCCCAGACTATATCCTACCTCTCTGTTGTGAAGTACCTGTCAGACCACAGCATACTTTATGCTTCTAGTTCTTTCTTAGGAGGATGTGAAGTGCTCACATTAGTTGATCATTTAGCACCTGGTTACCATGGAGTGGCATGCACCACTTAGCACTGCATTGTTTACAGAATAATTACAATGACCAAAAGGTAGGCTGTCACATTAATTATGATGATGATATAAAATCTCATCTACAGATCTAATACTTACAATTCCAGCTATATCTCAATCACGTAACGGATGAAATTACAGTGATAGCCATGTACCGCTCTTGAGATTTATAAGCCAAAACAGGTTGTTCTGCTAGTCAGCATTTTGGAGCCTACAGGAATAATTCACTAATTAACAGGTCTTTTAACTATAGTATAGGAAAGGCTGTTCAAATTAACTCAGATAATCACTTAAACTGCTACTTTATCTCCCATCCTCTTTACATATGTAATGTAACTTTTTAAGCTTGGGATTCACCCCACCCCAACCCCAACCCAAATATACGTGAGGAACATGCAAAAGGAAAAGCCTTTCTCTGATGAAAAGTTTAGATTTTACTTCTTCACTTTCACATTTGTATTTTAATAAAGAAAACAAATAGCATTCTCATAGAAAGCTGTAAATCATATGCCATCATTGTCACATTACCTTAAAAAAAGAAATTTTAGAATTATTATATTGCTGCCACATGAATGTTTCTTGGTTCTGTGTCAAGGAGATGTTTATCCCTCAAGGAATGAGGAATTCATAGCCTAAATCTTGGATTGGTGAAAAAGAAAAGGCAATAGCTAGCATTTGCATAGCACAAAGAACTTTATGGCATGCTTAACACACTCATTCTCTAGCAGAATTATCCCTATGTGGTATACTTTAAAAAGGTATAATTATCTCCATTTTGCAAGTAGGGAAACAACCCAAGAGGTTAAGTGACTTATTAGTTTTATTGAGGACTAAAACGCAAGAACCGTAACTCCTTCACTCATTGCTCTCACCACCTATCACTAACATTCCATACCTGTAAAAAAGAGTCAAGCTATCTAGGGTATTTAAGCTATCGTACCATCCCATGCAAAACAACTCAGAGAGGTTCTCCAGTTTGTAGTTAAGTAACCAAAATAGTCTAAAACTAACTATCATCTAATGATCACTTTTGTCTTAAAATTTTGTATAGATAGGGGTAATACTTTGATTTAGACAAATACCATGCATCTGTTTTACATGGATTCTACTTAAAACTGTGCAGAGCAGCTGTAATAAAGAAATAATGAAGAAAACTTTCTGTTTGTGACTAAACTTAGATCACCCTGTCAGAAGACTTCAACACGTCTGCAATTATCTAATTTTAGGCCGGGAATCCTTACGTGTGGGAGATTAACATATAGTTTTATTTGCTCTGGGGAGCTTCCTCCTCATTCATAATAGCCATACAACATATTCATTTTGAAAATTAAGGTAAATTTAAAGAACAAAATTCTTGAGAATTTTATACAGACCTCCTTCAAGTCCTTTAATCTGTTAACAAACTCCCCCCGAAGTTTGTGACTTCATTTTTTAAGGCTTTAAATTAATGTTGTTAATAACCCACATACTTAAGCTGGAACCTCCTTCACATCAATAATGCAAATGATTATTTGGGCAACATTTTTACCTATTCCTATTACCTTTCAAGAAAGCACCATTTTTTTAAACAAGCACTTCTTCCCTATTCTCCCACAAATGTTTAACTGCTCTTATTTTCTTTAAAATAATACAAACAAATCAATGCCATATTGAACTCAGCATTTGTGAGCAACTATTCAAGAATGAGTGAAGTAAAACCTGTAGCAGAGAGAGCAAACAATGCGCAATTCAAGTCTTAAGAGCCCCTGGTAACTGCATTTCAACTTTCTATGGGAAATGTTAGATGTTTTTAACATTATACAAGTAAACATTTAATGCTTTTCCATTAATTTCATTTTCATTTACCTCCATATTTTGATACCTTTGAAATCAGAGATTATAGTGTTTTCCTATTAGCTTTTCAGACAAAAGGAGTAGTTTATAGTTGTTAAAAGAAGCATTTAATTATGCAGTTTAAGGTTACATTAAGATATTTCTAATATACACCCTATACAAAACTCAAATACATTTGACCTTTACTCAAATAAATGAGCATTTGTATAGCATAAAGAACTTTGTGCCATGCTTAACACACACATTTTGTAACTTACATACTTATGGAAGGTAGATGAAGGTGAGTGATAAAACCTTAGATTCTCTAGAGAAATGGCATAGAAATATAAGCAGCTTATCATTTTTCACCACAGCATTACCTACAAGAAAATAGTGAAAGAATACGACATTCCAAATTCTACCACAAATGGAATGTATGCTTAGTGTGGCTTAGTATGGCTCCTAACATGTCAGTGTTTAATAAATACTAGTTTTCATTTAGTCTCCTTTCCATTTCCTTCCTCTTCCCTCCTGAGAAGTAGAATCCAAGCACTTTTAAAGTTCTTAATGTGGCTTAAAAGTTGCACATCTTTTTTACTGGATCCATGTGCTTTTTATTGATGTTTTATACTACAGTGTAAGTGGTAGGAAGAGCACTGGTCTAATATTCAGGGTTTCTCAGTTACTGACTAACTCAGTTACTAACCTTGAGAAGTCATCCAACCTCGCTCTGCCTTAATTTTAGTAAAATGAGTATAATAGTGCTTTCTTCATCTTCCTCACCAATAATAGGTCTGTGCTCTCCAACAAGTATGACAAGTGGAAGGTATTATTACTAAGCCTTATAAAATACACATAAAGTTAGCCATTTGTGTTTTCCAATGTAGATTTTAACAGGAGTGAAATATTTTGCACATAATTGACGTGTATAACTTTCTTTAAAACATATGCTCTTAAATATATATAGGACCGAGTAGAACTGCCCCATAGGGTTTCCAAGGAGTGGCTGGTGGATTTGAACTGTTTACCTTTTGGTTAACAGCTAAGCTCTTAACTACTATGCCACCAAGGCTTTCTTAAATATATAGTTATGGGAAATACATTTCTATATTTCATCCCTTGTGAGAACAGAAGAATATTCATTCTCCCTTTTTTAGGGTGAGTCTTACAAGAACTAGAAATTATATAAAAAGGAAAAGGGTGTATTAAAGAATTCACAAAAACAGGGTGAGTTAAAAGTGAGCAAGAGAGGTTGATACTCCATTATGATACCATTCTTATAGAAAAGACTGCCTTCACAGGTCTTTATTCTGATTAAATTATAAGCCTGAATTGTTTTAGAACTAATAAAGGCAAGTGATTAATGTTTTCAAGGACTTTTAATTTTTAAAAAGTGCCACATTCTAAAAGTAAGCATTAGAACCTTCTGAAAAATGACCCCAAAACCATGCTCTTCTCTACATAAAGAGGAATCAAGTTATACTCTTATATTCTCTGCCCCTATCCTGCAATGTTCTATTTTTTGTACTCTCAAATTAGAGCTGCATATTTATACTACTGTACTAATGACTAAAGGGACCTCAAGCTAACCTCAGCTACTGTCATATATTTGATTTGAGAATGTCACATTCTGAACAGGTTTCCAGAAGTAGAGTTCATACAATTAAATGTATATTTAATTTGAGTTGAAGCTAAGACTGAAGTGGACCATTAACCAGCACATTATTTGATCTCTCTCTTAATTAAGTTAGGAAAACATGACCTCTCAGAGGTGATCTTCTTTAGTGCTAAATAATAGTGCCTGTTTGAAAATTAGAAACACTTTACTAATTAAGCAACATTAAAAAAAACATGGAACTTAACTACTTAGCAGGAGAACTCATTTATAAAATATTGCCATTGGTTCCAGAGCAAGTTAGCTACCCCAAAAGAAAGATTTGATAGCCCAAAGTATGCCTGTGATGAAGCCTATTAGTTCTTAAGGAAGTTTTGTTTAAATAAGTGAACAAGTGGTGAAGAAACATTTGAAAGAAAGCATGAGGGCTGTGTAGGAAAAATAATGGGTTTTTTATTATAGACATAAGTGAATTCTTCTAAAACTTTAAAAACATATTTATTGGTAGCTGTTAAAAAAAAATAAAAAAGTGAGCAGTTGCTTTCAAATAACCATTCTGTCAGAGAAGGAAATCTCATCCTGAGGAGAAATTACAATCATTAACAAGGAATTGGACTCACAGAAAACAGGATAGATCTTTACTCATGTTTTACACTGTGAAGGGGAAAATAAAAAGAAAAAACTTTCTAAATGCCTTGCTTATTAAGCCAGTCATGCATTTCACTGCAGGTTGTAAAGCAGTAGAACATGCACAAGGGGTTCATAAGCATGTTTTAGAGTTAGGGAAAATCATTTACACTATTTTTATATTGTCACTATCACCCCTAGAGAATGAGATTAAGCTTTAAACTACTGTAAATCTACAGTTTTGCTCACCTTTGTATAATTTCCTTTTTAACAGAATGAGACTCACATAAATGAATATTTGATTAGGAGATAAACTTAATAGAAGAATACATTTATTGTGCACAGATTTATTCAAATCTTGAACGTATATAGCACAGCAAAATGGTATAAAACAAGTTTGTGGTTTTCAGTGAAGTGCATTGAGTAATTTGGGGTTTTCTTTGCTGGAATGAAATTTTGACCAGGTCTTATTGTTTTTTCTGTGCAGCCTGAACACTGATGCCGGAACTCCAACTGATCATAGGCACGGATGGAGTGCTATAGCAGTTACCTGCTTATCCAGTGTTGTGATTCTTTAGAATTCATACTCAAATTATTAAAACACGGAATTTTCAATTACTATTTGTTTTTCATTGATAAATAATGCACGTACAGGAAAATGTGCTAGAGAGTGGGCTTCAAAAGTTTTTGTGGGATATTCATAATAATGATTGAAAATGATACTTTACACTTCTATTCTATAACCCCTTTTTTCGAAAAAGTTCATAGTGTTTCATAAACATTATCACATAAATCCACACAGCATCCTAGTGGGGTAAGTAGGTGGAAGAATTTTTAAGACAGATAAAATGATATGTCTAAATCCTGTGAGAGAAATTAAAATGCAGACACACCCACTTTTAACTGTAATTACTATGAAATAGCTTTATATTTGGCTGACCTGGAATTTAACAGGAATTATGACAGGAAATGATTCACTTGTGAAAATTATCAATATTTATTATCACTGCTTTTGAGCTCACCTTTCTAAAAGAATGCTCTTTGCCTGTGGTGTTCTCTAAGGGAATACAGGGAGCTCTAGTTTCTAGATTTTACCACACCTAGTTCTTTCCTTGATCTGTTATGGTAGAGCAAGTCATTTAATCTCTCTCTACTAGCACATTCCTTATCTGTAAAGAAGGCAATGATAAAAACAGACATCCAAGCTACTCAAAATACCCCTTTTATTCTTTTCTTTTCTCCCCCCCCCACCCCCAATCTTGCTTCCTCTTTACTAAGCTACATGCAAGCAAACAGAATGACAAATTTAAGACATCAGAAAGGAGAAAGGCAGCTATGATGGGTCAGTCATACCATGGATATTTTCAACTGCTCACCCTCTGGTCTAGACAGGCCAGATACCTAAAAGATGTTGAAGTGACTAGGACTGAAAAGGATCGTTTGGCTTGAATTGCCCAGGAAATGGCCTCAAATATTTCAAACTGTTGACTAGTGGAGACCTGGCTACAGGCTGGAGGCAAATGCCTGCCATCATCATTTTCATGCCTCCTAAGAATATAACAGAATAGTATTCTAGTGTGCTAAATGGTACTCTAGTGATCAGACAGATTTAATGCCCCTCCTAACATGCTCTCCTTACATAAAGCAAAATCGAATACATTATGTAATGTTTACATCTGCCCTAGAATTAAGTTTTGATTTGACAAAAGCACTACTCATCTATACGAAAGTCCAACTGAGTTTTTACCTATTCTCCAATAATTTGTTTCCTGTGGCAGTACCTGGATTTTCTGTTGTAATGCCACGCCCCGCCCACCCATATCAACGTGACATTCTAATCTTTCCATGCTCTCAAGAAATTTTTTCTATGGTACAAAAATTTGGCTTTTGGTGCTCTCCACAGACTATAGAAAATCTGCTTACATAGAGTAGCTCTGCTGCTTTAGCCTAATTCAGTGAAATAATGATAAATTAGAAATAAGTCATAGACAAAGGCTAAGGCAAATCAAATTAGAATTTTTATTACTATCCGAACTGAATAATAATGAGATGTTACTAAAAATATAACATCCGAAAAAGTCTCTTCATTTTATAATCAAATATAGCATATATTAAACTGCAGAGGAAGTTGAATAGTATTTTCAGAATAACTAAGTCACTTAAAAACTAATAAGTGTCTTTTTATAAATAGATTTGTTTACTTTAGATGAACTGTAAGAAATCCTCATATGCTTTCTTCTGGCCTATCCACATATGTTTGCCGTCTTTATTACACATGAGCTCAGCTTATTCCTTCTCATAAGCTTCAGTCATGTACCATAGAAGGCAAGTCTCACACTTACTTGAGATTTGGAACAACCAGCCGTGGTCCTTTAAAGATAACTGATTATTAGAGGCTCATATTCTGTATGGAACGGGCCACATCAGACTCTTGTGCAATGGGTATGTTCCTGTCAGGAAGTGCTATGCTAAAAGAAGGACTATATGGACCTTTGTTTTTATTTTTAAAATGGTCACGTTTGTACATATCAAATTCCCCCTTTTACTTATCTGATAACTCTTAAAGCAATAAACTCTATCGGTCAGCTCTCCCCAAATGTCAATGTGTGTCAGTCCTTGGACGTTTCCAAGCTCTCTAACATTTCTCTGGAGAGGCTTTGTTCATTGCGCTTCCTGATTTTTAATCTTGTTTACATCCAGAATGCATATTAGATCATCTCTGTTTGGACCTCAAGTACAAACCCTCTTAAAAACATGAAACATTCAATTACTAATTAGCTGCTTCCTATTCCTAATGAAGTGAGCACACCACGTTTGGATTAAAATTCAGCGACTGCTCTCCTCTGTTTATGGTTCCAGATGTTTTTGTTTTATCTAGGAGTTTACTTTGACAGCCACTACTAAATGATAAATCACTCATAGCTGAAATGCATTTTGAAATTGAAATGTGGTAAACTTTGAGATTGCTCCAAGGATCAGTGTCAGTTAGCAGGTCAATATCAGTTCCTTCCTTACGATCACTCAGTATTGGCATATGTAAAACAGTAATAGAATATGTGTCAACATTATACAGCATGCTACACAAGATTCCATTTTGGTACTATTCTCCAAATTGGGATAAAAAGTTTTAATACTATGAAATCTCAATGTATTGTATTCTGGATAGAAAGACAGATCCATATTAACACTGTCTTCTTGCTGGCCTAACACTTGTTTTTCTTTCAATTTTTGAGCTGCTGTGGAAACTGTTGCTGATAGACCTTGTAAACAGGCACATTTAATTAAGGGTGTGGGCAATATGTTTGTCTCTTTGAATAAAGACAATAATTAAACAATAAAGGAGGGAGATCATTCAGAAACTACATTTTTCTAAAGGGCAAATGGTGATTTTTTTTTTTGCTATTCATTATTGTGTTTATGTAACTCTTATTTAGAAGATATTATTGTGTTTTGCCATTTCTTTCAAGTTTGCAATGCTCATGATTTGTATTGCATGATTTAAGCTTCTGAAATATTATATAAATTTCAGACCTGGTAAAATGACTCTGCCATTTGATGTTGAAGAGCTATACTTTGACATTTAGGCTGTGTATACAGAAGATGAGGTAGACTGGAGAACTGAACAATTATCTGGTCAATTTCATAAGAATAAACATCCTCAAACTCCCCAAAGGAGGCTGAGCAATTCTCCAAGGTGACAGACTACTAGACAGTTTCAAAAGACTCAACCTTTGTTTTCCTCTGGTCCCTGGAAAAGTTCAGATGAATACCATGGGCTCCTTGGGAAAATGTCTAGTAGGCTCTAATAAACTCTAACCCTTCAACTAGTTAATCTGACTAATATAGACTCAAACTCTTTTTCTTCTATTACATTACCAAAAAAAACTCCATTGCTGTCGAGTCAATTCCAACTCATAGCAACCCTATAGAACACAATAGAACTGCCCCATAGGGTTTCCAAGGAGTGGCTGGTGGATTTGAACTGCCGACCTTTTGGTTAGCAGCCGAGCTCTTAACCACTGCACCACCAGGGCTCCATTACATCTTTGTTTTTTGCTCTGAGGTATTATCCAAAAAATTCCACTGACTCGCCAAATTTTCCACATAAACTAAATATATACTTTAAAGATATTATACACAAGGTTAATAAAGGGTACATAAGAAGAGGTCATATTTTCCTCCCAGCGATACTAAACTCTGGCCAGAATAAATTGATACTTTGGGCTAAGCATCTCAGTCCAGCAATAATAATGTACTCGCCTTTATATGTGAAGGATGATACATTTGACTCACAGACATGGAATTTAACTGTTTCTCAAACAAGGGTGATGGATTTATACTTATCCATTCACACTTTCTTTCCTAGTTCCTTTTTTGTCAACAAAGGCCAATTTTTGTGAGGCAGCTAAATAGAGACTAGTTTTGTAAGCCATGGCTATGGAAAGGAGCAATGCCAGACACAAAGAGGTAGAATAGTTTTACAAACAATTCCAACTATAATTCTTAGCAACACCAATAAAATATTACCTAACTATAGGATGACATAAGGAGCCCCAGTGGCACAGTGGTTAAGAACTCAGCTGCTAACCGAAAGGTTGGCTGTTGGAACCCACAAGTTGCTCCACAGGAGAAAGATGTGGCAGTCTGCTTCCGGAAAGATGTAGTCTTGGAAACCCTATGGGGTAGTTCTACTCTGTCCTATAGTGTCTCTTTGAGTCAGAATCAACTCAGTGGCAACAGTAGGATGACATGGACTGTTTTGATTACCAACATTTAAATGGACACTGGTGTGACCAAACACTCTGGTTAAAATGATACTCAGAACCAGTCTCCCTTCATGCAGTATCCATAGTCTCAGGGTTAAGCTGGGGAGAGGAAGTTCTAAATGTACAAAGCTGTCATTGTCTTAGATCATGACCATATACTCCTCTTCCCTTATCTTGGTAAACCATAGGGATATCAACTGTATCATTACGTACAAAAGGAAAATTAACACTACAGATGTTATAGTTTATGAAAAAAAGTCTTTATCAGTCTTTGATGTCTTCAGTGCTGTGGGAAGAAGAACAGAAGCTATAGCATGAAACTTGAAGGATCTTTGAAAACTCACACATTAATATATAGAAATGTTCAGAAGTGTTAAATTGTACCAATACTAAATCAATCTTGTTACATCAGATCATTTTAGGTTCCCGAAGATAGAAGTTTTAGTATTTTTAGCACATATCAGAATTGTTCCTCAGAAGAACTAACTTGTTTTCTTTTTTTTAAAGGAGGTAACTATTACTGTTTAGCAATGGCACAACAGTTTTATTCGGCCTGAAAGGTCCTCGCTGGCTTTACATAAATGAAGAGGCTTGTGATTCCAGTCTATCTCTGAAACTATTCAACATGGAGTTATTTCAATTGTGTTTATTAGCAAAGCTTTGTTTACTGAGGCAGCTATCAATCTATATTACATTTATTACATTTAAAAAAAGAAATGTGTGTGCATTTTAAAAACAATGATGTAAACTTTGTCCTTGCATTAGATTGACCAGTTTAAGAGTATGAGCTAAATCTTAATGGCTAAAGTAACTTTACCATAATTGATGATTTTCTATGTTCATTTCAGCTTGGCCTTTTGTCTTTTAAGGAAAAAAAATGCAGTAGTGTGTTAGAGTCTAGAAACATATGTATGGTTTCTCCGTTCTACCATATATTAAGTTAAAGTACACCTTCTTTGTTAAAATGTACTTGCTAAACTTCAGTATAAATAAAAGCATTTTGACTTTGTCAGTTATCACTGAGTTTTTATTTTCAAATTTCTAGCTGCAGTCATTAAAATATATAATACAGTCATAGTGAAAGACAAAAAAGAAGAACTAGGAAGGTATTTGCAAAGCATCCTCTTGGTTTGGTTATTTCCAAAGAATTATGAACATAAATCTTATTTCAGTTCACCTATTTAAACAGGCTGATATTACTGCCCTCAATTGTTCTATTGACTCACACTGGATTGCTTTTTCCTGGCTGTGTGTTCTTTGTGAACCTGCTTCCAGGAAGAAGGGTTACACTGGGAAGCAGGAAAAATATGATGAATCAAAAATGGGAAATTTTTCTGTGAATACCGATGATTTTTTAAGAAAATTTTCTTCTAAAGTCACCTTCACTGGAGAACAAAACAATTGAAGGAGTATATGTCTACTCCGGTCTAAAGAAATTCCAGTTCTCCCAGAAAAACCTAAGAGTCCTTCTTGACCTAATGAAAAATCAAAGCCAGTCACAGCTCTGCCCTATAGTTTACCTACTCTCTGTCTTCACCTTCTCCTTGTTTCATTTTCAATAAAAGAAGGAACCCACCAAAATTCTGCTTCACCAAGGATCTTCTCAGTTTTTATTATGCAATGTCACCACTACTCATTGCCCTGTCTCGTAAACAGTGTGTTGTACCCCACAATACTTCCAGCTGGCCATCCAAAGAATGTGGATCTTCTATTTTGTGACCAAGTTGCTACTTGCACAGATGTTTCCTCTCATCTTCACCTGCTCACCCCCTCATTTATGGAAGTTCGAAGAGTTCTGATAAGAATACAAGCTCTCTCTTCTTTAGGGGAGAAAGATCCGCAAGGGTTTTTCTTGGATAAGCAGACCTGCCCTGGTAGTAGAGTCAGGGGGAGGGAGTAACCCCCCAACATAACACAATAAACAAGGACCAAAATAGTCAATCATGTGACATGTAGGGTTGCATTATTGCGAGGTTAATATAATGACCAGGGCAGACCAATACTATTAGCTGGCCAACTCCCAGGGGTCCAGATATCCAATACTGTCGGTGGTTTGGCCTTACGTAGTGTGGTTACACACACTGGCTTAACATTGATGTGGTCATTCTGGGTCCTGTGGATGACTGGGACTTCTGCGAAAGTAGAAATAATTTCAGAAATTTCCTAGTTATTTGGAGCCCATTTCATTGGCTCATCTGAACAGATAATACCATGAAAATCCTGGGAGTGAGTCCCATCCTGCACTTTCCTACTCCCTGGCTTAAGATTGCTTGCCATTTCAATGCAAAACCACCACCATCCCTCCCCACCCCCTTCTTCACCATTATTAATCCTCTCCAACAAAATAAGAACCTTAAACTTAAGAAAAGGAGCTGAGCACATGTCAGGAGTTTGTTCATAGCAAGACAGTGGTTTTACTGTATATCAGTGCTTTCTCAGGTATAAACACGCTGTTCATATTATTGGGAGGATCAGTGTTTATATCATTTCCTCTTCACAGTCTTTGGTGAACATACAGTTTACATTCATCCTGGGAGTGTGGCTGTGGGAGCTGGATCAGACTCATGCAAATTTCAGGGACCTCAAGTTCACTGCTTGTGGAGTAGTGGTAGGGGTACACTGCTGCTCCCACCTCCAGACATGCTCATGTGCTTTCCTTTGAATTTCAATGCTAGTATAAGGATGTTGTCCCACATATCTCAAATCACCTAACCTTTTAGGGGGAACCAAATACTCAGGTATCCTTAATTGTTGCCACTCTTCCCAACTGACACACATATAAGTGAGCCCCAAGGGATTTGGTCATGAACCTCCACACACACACACACACACACACACACACACACACTAAACACAATGTGCCTTTTTTCCCCTCAGGGAAAAGTGTCTTTGTGGATGGTGTTCCAAAAATAATAAATTATAATAGAATCTTAGATTTGAGAGAAAAGGAAGGTTCTTAAATACTATCATTAGTCAGATCTCTTAAAGGCAGGTACACAACTACTATTTTAACCCTTGTAATGCCAAGGAGCTGTGGCTAGACAGCTCTCAATATTGAAAAGATTACAACTGATATTCGACCAAAATTTTTGCCACTTCAACTTGAACTGGGTGGAGGAAAGCGACCCCAATCACACACAGATGCCAACAATTATGATATTACCTTTTGTTACATGTTCCTTTCCATTTTGATATCTTAAAATGTTAAACTGAAACATATGCTAAGCATTCCCTTCATTCAAAATTAATCTGTGAGATGTTACAGAAAATGTAAAATGAATCAGCATAGTTTTCATTCCTGTTTGCATTCATGTCTATGTCTGTATACACATACACACACAAATATATACATACATGAAACACTTTTGCTTCCCTTGTCAAAGAATTACTGAAATCAAACCACTGTTTCAATTTAGTATCCATTGCAAGAACCACAAATGAGTTGAAATCAATTAATGAACTTCTCAGGCCATCATGCTTTCTCAAGAAAACATGCCATGATAATTCATTGTGTTCTGAAATGAGGATGCTTTCTTCTTCTTTGCGTGACCTTTTTAAAGTGAGTTAAACCCATAATCCTTTAGGTAAAATTAATGCTAAAAAATATGGTAGAGTTTGCTTCTTGGGTTGCCAAGACATTCATATTAGAGGCATGTGAAGATCTTAGAAGTAACAGAGCAACATGAACACACCCAAAAATCTGTCTTAATTAGCCAAAGGGGTTAATTAAAATTACAAGTAAGTATTCAGGTACAATTATGTCTAATATTGAAAAGGACACTTTATATAACAAGAAACTTCCAACAGAGTTGAGAGAACAGGGTTCCACACTATAAACAATTAGAAGCCACTACAAATGCTAATTAAGTGATAATAGGTATGGTACAAAGATAAAGAGGTCAGAAGAACACGTTATATGCAAGAGTAACGGGCAGGCTTTGCGAAACCTGAATAGCGTTCTAAAAACAAGTATGATTGGGGGAGGATTTCACATTTGTTAAAACACTTGGCTGCTAACCAAAGGGTTGATGGTTCGAACCCACCAGGTGCTTCGTGGGAGAAAGATGCGGCAGTCTGATTCTGTAAATTACAGCCTAGGAAACCCCATGGGACAGTTCTACTCTGTCTTATAGGGTCACTAAGAGTCAGAATGGACTTGACGACAGTGGATTTTTTTTTTTTTGTTTATGTGAAGGTAACAGATCCGCACCTGCTAAGCCCCAGAGTAAGAAGAATGGTGGGTACTGTGCATGGAACAGCAAGGAAACCCTTTAAGGAAGCACAGAATTTTTGTCTACCTTTAGTGTAAGATAATATTTGATAGTTTAAATGGGACTATGCTATAGAGCATAAAATGGGAACCCATTTGTAAGATTAATCTGAGAGCAATGTGGAATGGATTGAAAGGAGAAGCTTCAGGAAGAGAGACAGTTAAATGTCCTAAAATAACTCCTTCATATTTCCCTCTGCATATTTCTAATTTAAAAGGGGAATTGGAGTAGCTAAAGAATGACACATATGATCAGTTTTTACAGATGCTTAAAATCCTAGTTAGCTATAAGAATGTGAGGCACTGTGTGGGTCAGTCAATATGAAGAAAATGTTCTTGGCAAGGTTTAACATTTGGATTTAAGCATCTATAAAATCATAAGCCATAAACTGAGTTTTATTTGAAATAAAACATTTCAGCTGAAGACTCAATTGGCCTAATTCTTCTACCTTTACTAACACAGCAATTCCTGAATTATAAATGACATGGCAAAGGAACATCTTTCATGTAAGAACTGTGGCTCCAGCAAGGCCTCATTGCCATTCCTATGCTCCAAGGAGCCACTCATTTTATTACTTATCAGTGTGTGCTGGCTCTGCTACCTGAGAAGACAAGCTCTCACTAAGCCCACATCCTGCTCTTTACCACTTCTACTTCCCTGTCCAGGCTAATCTCAAAGACAGAGCCCCTACAGTATCCACAGCCCCTGGAATTTCCTGCTCCCATTACCTTGCAGACTGAAATGGGGTACCCTATTTTGCTACGTGAGTGGCACAAATGGTTAAGTGCTGACTATTAACCAAAAATGTTATGTTGGTGGTAAGAACTCACTCGAGACACCTTGAAAGAAAGTTCTCCTGATCTGCTTCTGAAAATCTGAGCTTTGAAAACTCTGTGGAACACAGTTGTACTGAAACACATGGGGTTGCCATGAGTCGAAATCCACTTAACAGCAATTTTTTGTTGTTGTTGTTAACCCTGCTACCAGGGAAGGACTGGTTACTGTAATATTTGGGTCTAATATGGAACTCAGAATGAGACCATTTTTTTCCCACAAACAAGGTTATTAGATTTGACAGGTAACTGGGTATTTTAAAGGACTGATGGTTCTATAGACCAGCTATCTTATGAGTTTAATTGTATTTTGTGTGTTGGTCTAAAAAGGAAAGCATTACAAATGGTGTGGAAAAATGTACTTTTCATTCCAAACAGCCAACTCACCAATGAACTCTTGAACAAAATCCAGTTATAAAGCAAGAGTTGCCTAATTGTAATACCACACTATCAGATTTTGACAGGAAACAAAGTGCAACACACAAGTGAATTTTCTTGATAATTAAAATCATGCTTTTAAACATTAAAATAAGAGAATATTTGAAGTAAAAATCAATCTCATTTATACCGTATATGCTCTACTTCCACACTTTCTTAAACCTAATTTATCTTTTCTTTATGATTCAGGGTCATAATTATGATTTTTTTTTTCCTACGGACTAACATGTTTGGAGGTCTGCTTTTCGACCTACTGGGCTCCTCCCTGTATCTTTAAAATAAAATAATAATAATAATTAAAAAAAAAAAAACCTTTGCTATCTATCCAGTCGATTTCAACTCATACTTTAATTTCTTCTGTCTTTGTCACTGCCTCTGATAATGCCCCTTCTTCCTCACCTACTCGTTTGCTATTTTCAGTCTCCTGTTGGCTTGGGAATCTCCTTGTGTGAGTCCCTAACCCTCTA